TGAGCATTGACTCCCCTATACAGAATTTTATTGTTGTTAACAACCATTTGATCAATAAATATGAGATGCCCTCTCAAAAAAAAAATAAAATAAAATAAAAAATAAAAATAAAAAAGAGAAAAATATATATATTACAATTAATTAATTACAATGTATAAGAAAATGAAAAAGCAAAGTACACCAGCTATAATCTAGAAAAGATGCTCAACCTCACTAGTAATTAGGGAAATTAAAAGTATATATCAAAAATGGGATTTTTCCGTTTCCTCACAGATTGGCAAAAACCAGAAGGGCAGACCATGTAAACATTCATGCACCACTGGTGAGTATAAATTGGAGTATGTTTATGAAGGTCAATTTAGCAACAGCCATCAGAATTTAAAAAGACATATCCTTTTACCTAGCAGCTTCACTTCTATGAATCCACAACATCTGATGAAGTACAAAAATACACACATACATAATCACGAAGATACTAATAAGGCTATTCACTGGATTGTTTCACAGCATGAACAGTGTCATCAATAAGGTAATGATAAAACAAAAAATAACAGAACATCCATACTAGGAAATGAAACCGAGTCATTTAAAAGGATTGAAACCTATATGTACTGTATGTACTGATGTGAATACAATGCCAAGACATATTTAAATAATGTAATATTCTGTACAAATAGATGATTTCACTGTATAAAGAATGATGTATGTAGACTTGTATTTGAATATGAACAGAATTTAAAAGAACAAAGGATCAATCCATTAAACAGTAAGTGACCTTATTAGGAAGGAGAGAAATATTTACTTGTTTTTTAAACTTTATGTATCCTATATTGTTTGAATTATTGTCATGCGTTGCTTTTAGAAGTAAGGATTAGAATAAATAAAATTAATAGCGCCAGTAAGCAGTATACCCAGCAGATCAGGTAGCCAGCATATGGAGTGGTCATGAGTTGCTCATTTTGGAGTTGGGAGGTTTCAGTGTGATAGGAACCCTCATATGAGTAGAGGGGGAGTGAGGGGCAGGCCCTGGTACCCCCACAGGTTCTAAGACTTTGTTAAAGTGGATCCCCAAATTGTTATCATTACCTTATCATTTACTTGGCAACCTTGCCTTGTTGAAGCTATCCAACTGGAACAATAAAAACTGATGACCATTGATTTACTTGTACCAGGGAGGGGGAAGGAATCTGACCACTCATTGTTTTCAAATATCATTTCAAACCATCAGTAGATTTGACTACTTCATTGGACCCTTGACACCCTGAAATCCATAAGGGCATAATTTGATTGAAGCAAAATCCTTGGAAACACAGAGTTCTGACACTTGAAAATAGCCCTAGTTCTGAACATCCTAAAAATTGCACATTTGTGTGAAGTTGCACACAACAGCCTAAAAAATTAGTGAACCCCCATGCACTGAAAGTGTCAAAATGCTGCACTGGGGCCAGATGTGCAAGCAAAACAAAACAAAAAGTCCAGCAGGTTTGCACATGAATCAGTTTGGGCTAAAAGTACTAGAATGTATGAATACCTTTTTAGAGTCACTGGCATCAGCTGAGCAATCCCCATAGTGCCAGTGGCTAGAACTGTGAACCACTGCCATAAACTCGGAACTACATCAATGGGCTCCATCTCAAGAGACTTTTGAAGTATAAGATAACACAACACACAAGTGGATCAACTTTCACTGATGGCACCACTGCTGTGCTAGAAAGTCCGTCTGAGAAATCTCCATGACCAACCAGGAAGCTGGACTTAACTTCCATCCATCACTCAAAGCACTTCACAGGCTGCAGTGCTCCCATCAGCTGTGGTCCATCCGCATGGCCCCAAGGTGGTTATCACTGCTCCTCCCCGTCTAAGCGTAGAGGACCTACTGAGGAGGAGAGGGGAGGTGATTGGACCGAAGTCACACAGCTCATCTGTGTGTGAGCCTCATATTCCGACTCTAAATCCTATCACCTTGACTGTGATTACCAACTGAGTAATACCTTTAATTATTTTTACATTATTTATATTATCAATTACATTATTTTGAGCCTTCTTACAAAGGGCTCAAAGATTTTACAAGCTGAATTATTCCACTGTTGTTACTTTCTGGTTTATCTTTCAAAATGTCAAGGCTATCATGATCCTTAAAATTTTTAATATACTGACACTGTCAGAAGAGAGGATTATTTATTCTTAGGCATGACCAGAGAACTCCGATACAGGGGGCTCAGCGATTAGACCAAGGTTAGTCAGCAGGAACCTCCAACCAAAAGAACACAGGGAAACCCTCCGTCCTTGGGAATGTGTGTGGGCAGGACCCTGGCAGGAACCTGGTTTTCCCGCAGATCTGCTGGCTACAAGGGTCAGATTTCTAATGAAGTAAATAAAGGAATTACAAACACCCCAAGCCTGTTTCTAAGCCTGAATCCTCAAGTGTGAAAGCAACTTTCAAGCTCAGAGCTGGCCTCGTTTTGCTCTCTGGATATTTAAGGGTCTCCATACTTTCTGCATGTAGTGATCACCGTTGAGCTGAGGGCACGGGGTCAGAGCTCTCTATTTGTTTTTCCCCCTCAAACAATTCTTGTTTCTGTCAAGTCACCAACTAAAATAGCCTGCTCCAGTCAGATGTTATCACCTCTACAGTGAACACTAATTTATTCTTCCTCAAGCTTAGAAAGGTGATGTAAGTACAGAGGCCTTAGAATTAAGGGGACTTCAGAGCCTACATATTTCAACCACTCACTTTGCATGAATTATCTTGAAAGTACCACACTGTGGTTAGGATAGCCTTTGCCTGAGTGTCTCCAGAGACAGGGGGGTGGGTCAGCACCTACTGTCTGAAGTTTTTGGAGTTACTTGTTACTACAGCATAATCCAGCCCACCTTGATTCATACACAGTAAATGGGAAGCCAGACAAACAAATAAACCAAAATCAAATAGTAAAGTGAAGGCATGAACAAGATTGAGTGAGGGTACAGGAAAAGGCTTGCCACCCACCTAAGTTTTCTGGAGGACTCGGGTAAGGCCTCGCAGAGTGGGCAGCCCCTGAATCAGAGGTTGAAGGTGAGTAGGCACTGCAAGTCTGCATGTTGGAAAAAGAGTGTCCTAGACAGAGGGAACACCTGATGCAGAGCCACAGAGGGCAGGGAAAACATGGTCGTTTGGAGTGCTGCGAGGAGCTCAGCTTTGCTGGCCTGTGTGGTCTGAGCGTGGTGAATCACCATGAAGCTTCTGGGACTCTCACTTGCATGGGCACCTTCCAAAGCCTGTATCTATATTTTTATAAATATAAACTTATAGTCTTCATGCTTGTTTGTTTTTCTTAGGAGGGCCTCCCCCCTAATGTTGAGGTTCCACAAAAGCTGGATCTGCCATTGATGGGGTAGAGATGAACAAGGAGGCGATTACACGTCTACAGAGAAGACCTGTAGACCTATTAATCTTCTGCAACACTTCTTTCAACCTTTGAAAAAAAGAATCATGTTCCCTAAGTCTCCTTTTCCCCAAGCCAGTCATCCTTATTCCTGTCCTTTGTGTCAGGGGTTGGAATGTATACACTGTCCCCGTGGCTTTTCTTGAATGTGCTCGATCTGTCTAAAGAGTAGCATCCAAGCCTAAATCTAATTCTGCAGATGTTCATCACTTTCCTAATGGAGTTTCTGTGTCATACTTAACCCTTCCACAGAAGTTGTTACCAAATGATGCCAGATTATTTATACTGTGTAAATCTCCCCAAAATATGGCTCAGTGCTCTGGGATTTAATTCACATCACCAGCACTGGCACCAAAATGCAACACTTGTTTGTTTCAGTTTCAGTTTGGCAGACTTTGAGGAACAAGACAGATAGTTAATTCATTTAACAAATGTTTACTAAGCACATACTCTGTGCCAGGTACTGTTCTAGATGCTAGAATATGGGTGAGATTAAAAAGAAGATATAAGAACCCCTGCCTTACTGGAGTTCACATTCTAGTTTGAGGGAGAGACAATAAGCCAAATAAGTAAATAAAATTGTGTGTTAAAGAATAGTAAGTGTGATGGAGAAAAAGAAAGCCAGGAAGGGGACAAGGAGTGTGGTTGGGGCAGTAGATGGGTTGCAGTTTTAAATGTGGTGATTGGAATGGCTTCACTGAGATTGTGAAGTTGGAGCAGAGAAACAGAGGTGAGGAGGCCAGCCATCTGGACGGTGAGAAGAGTATCCCAGGAAAACTGGTACAAAAGACTGTGATGAGCCTAATTTGTTCAAAGAACAGCGAGGAGGCCAGTACAGCTGGGTGGGAGCAGGAGATGGTCAAAGAAGTCAAAGGTCAAAGAGGCGAGGAGGCTGACTCGGCAGAGCCATTGTGAGGACTTGGGTTTCTCTGAGCTGGGCAGCGACACGGGGAAGCTGGAAGCAGAGTGCCGACATGGTCTAACTGGAGTCCCACAGGATGCCTCTGTGGGCCTTGTTGAGACACACTTGTGGAAAAACAAGAGGAGAAGCAGGAAACCTGGCCGGAGGTTTCCAACGTCCCAACAGCAGCAATCCAGGCAGGAGACGACAGTGGTGTGGGCCAGGATGGTAGAGATGGAGGTAAGGAGAAGTGGCTGGATTCTGAATATGTTTGAATGTGGAGCCAACAAGATTTCCTAAGGGGCTAGATGGAGTGTCAAACATTGTCTCCATAGGATTTGGGGTTGACTCTGAGATTTTTGGCCTAAGCAACTGGAAGGATGGCATTCCCATCAACCATGACAGGTTTGAACCCAGAAAGCCTACTGCAAAAACAAAAGCAAATCTGTGCTGCTAAGACTGGAAGGTCCCTTTCTAGGAGAAAAACTTAATTGGGCTGGTTTGCTCATAAGCATTTCAGGAAAGTACGGGGCAGGCTGCTAATGAGCAGGAGGCTGTGCAACGCCAGTGTTCCCAGAGAGAAGATTTGCCTTTGCCAAAACCTGCTCAAACCACAGAGCACCTACAGAAAGCCGGGTTGCAGTTTGTACAAGGGGCTAGGGATAGGGAAGCTGGGAGCAAACCTAGGATACCTGGAGAGCTCCCTAGTCAGAACCTGCATTCCCCGAGGCTGGGGCAGCACCTCCCAAAGTTTAACACATACACTTAAATGTACTTGCACCCTAAATTTTGTTTCAAGTACAAAAGTAAATTACTTAATTAAATTTAAAACTAATAGTTTTAAAAAGAAATATAAATGGGATTGTTCTGGATGTGGTTTCACTTCTGAATTACATTTGTTTTATTTCCATTGAATTTTTCCAGTGTGGGCCAGAGAGTTTGCAGGCTAAATAGCTTGCAGACTAGTGGGCCTGCTAGAACTTCTCAAGAACATTTCATTTTAAAAAGGAACTCCCTGGCTCTCCCCCTAGATGTGATGCTCCTCCCCCTCCTTCCAAGCTCTGTCTGCATTGGTGACTTTCTTCAATGGCCTCAAAACAAAGCCCAGCAAGATTTTACACAAAGAAAGGATGCTTGATTTCATTCACAGTAAGGGGAATACTAATTAAAATCACTCTGATTCTCTTTCACTTACTTTGTAAAAGCTTGAAACGTTTGACAATATATTGAGATGGTAAGGGTTTGAGGAAATAAGGCACTCTCACATACCGCTTGTAAGACTGAAAACTGGGAAAAGCTCTACTGAGAATTATTTAATAATAGCCAACAAAGTTTAAATGCTCATTCCTTTCGGTTCAGAAAGTCTTTGGAACACAGCCTACAGATATACTTGTGCATGTGTGTGGTACTGTATGAAGAATGTCAACACTGTAACAGTAAAGGACTGGAATAACCTAACTGTCCACAAACAAGGGAATGGAACAACAGGTACTTGTAAAAAATGAACAAGGGAGCACTTTTTCCACTGC